TTTTGAACTTTTTAATATTACACTAGGCATGAAATCCATGGATTTTATGTCCAACACTACTGACAATATAAGAGATAAATTAAACAGTATCTTTGAAGAATTCGATGTAACTAACATTTCTAAGCTGGTGTTTGTCACTGATAGAAGAATGAATATTAAAAGTGCACTAAAAGACGTTACAAGATTAAATTGCTCTGCTGATTTATTTTCCACTTTCCTCAACGATGCCTTTGAGTTAACAGTCGAATTAAAAGAAATCACCGAATCCTGTAAACAAATTGTGAAATATTTCAAAAATGCCAACACACATGATATCTTAAAAAGCAGTTTAAAAAGTCACTGTCCGACAAGATTGAATGCCAACTTTGCTATGTTTAAATCTGTTTATGATAATTATGGACATGTGAATAAAATTCTGTCAGATAATACTGAAACATGTCACATGCTCAATTTCAATATGCCTCTGCTGCAAGGGTTAGTGGAGTTATGCAATGACTTTGACATTATTTTCAATAAACTTGAATGTAATACATCTCCAACACTTTGCTATGTAATTCCTTCTATTAACAGAATTCAATTGATATGCAATAGTAACGTTATTGATAATGAGGTTATTGTAGCCCTAAAGAATAATATATTACTGCAGTTGGAGAAATGGCGCTCTAATTTAAGTATTTGGCACAAAGCAGCCGTGTTCTTATATCCTCCAGCTATATCCATACAGCCAAATGATATGTTTGAGATAAAAGAATTTTGTATGGAAAACATTATAAAAACAAAACAAAAGGATCCATCCGGTAATTCCGAAATGGACGACTTAAAAGAAATTGAAGTTATATCCTCTACCGAAAATACTTCAGAGTCAATAACGACAAAAAATAATGACTATTTACCGCCATCAACTGCACAAAGTTGTAGAAGCGATTTAAGTTTCTTTTTTCCTAATCTTGTTAAAAAAGTATCGAATTCTATTCCGGAAAATGTAAAGGATGAAGTCGAGCGCTATTGTTCGGAGAATGTAAGACTTACGGATGACTTTGATGTTATGCTATGGTGGAAAAGCAATACCGATAAGTATCCCAAATTGTCAAAACTGGCTGCAAAAGTATTGTCTATTCCTGCTAGCAGCATAGCATCAGATCGTAGCCTATCCTTAGCTGGAAATGTTTTAACAGAAAAAAGAAACCGCCTAGAACTAAGAACTGTTGATAATATACACTTTTTAAATTCTGTTCAGAAAATAACTCATTGGTAATTTGTTAAAAATAAATTTCATTTAAATGCTTTTATAAATGTGAATAATATTTAAACTAATATAATAAATCTTCAACAATATTTTCTTAAAAAAAAATAAAATAAAACATTCCTAAAAATGAACTTTTCTGTAAAAATGTGGTTAAAAACACATGCAGATTATAATATAATCTCAGTCATTTACAGGTAATACCTGTCATTTACAGGCCTAAAGTTGAATAAACTAAAGGGACTTGGAATATAAATATAAATTCAAATTTTAATTTTATTTGAATTAAAGTTTACAAATAAATAATTTTATTATTTGTAAAATTGGTTTTTAAAAAAAAATATGTAATATCTACTTACATGCCACACGAATAACTGGGTTCCTTGGCTAAATCTGTATTTTCCGATTGTTTATATGAAATTATTTCATCGCGTATAGCCATCAGTATACGCAATTGATTAACAAAATCCTCTGTCGAAGAGCTACAATCACTAAAGCGAAAAGTTTGCTTCAGCATTACATCACAAGTTCTCAAATCTATTAACGACGGTGTCATTGAAGCCGTTGACCAGGAGCATTTTATAGAAATATTAGATTTTATGTGATAAGTATTTTCTATCTGAGTTTCAATACGAGCTTCTTTGCCAACAAAGGCATAATGTTGCTGCAGCAGAGACTGACTGGTTACAGTGTGGGTCTCGATAACGCCCATGTAATTGATAATGCCTCTGGTGTTTTTATTACGTCCAAATTCGTACTGTAACAAGAGAGTTTTTGGTACATCTGCGGCCGAACATAAGAACCATACAGAACCTACTGCATCTGCAGAACCCTTTTGAAAATCTTCTGTCATAACATTTCTGGCCTTATCTACGGAAATGCCCTTGTGATATTCTTCTTCAGGTTTCCAGGGATTTCTAGAGATCAAGTTGAGATCCAAAGACATATCACCAATTGCATCCACCTCGCAGTCATCCTTTAGAGGACTGCCAGTTAAATCCAAATCAACATTCGATGATTTCTTTATATTCAACTTGGAAGGTGATACAAAGTTCATGGACTTTCCCTTCGAACGATCCTAAAAACGAATAAGACTTGGTTAAATAATTTTAAGGCAAATATACCCAATAGTTGTCATACTTCCACATAAAAAAGAACAATCTTGCCGGGATTCTCAGCAGCACCTACAATATTGTTTAAATAATTTGGCGACAAAGCATAAGTTATCATATAATTCTCTCCATATTTTCGTAATAAATTTGCATAAACATTTGCTAAATTCGAAGACATAATAAGATATATTTGGATTTAAAAATAAATCTGAACAGCAAAAAAATATTTTACAAAACAACAAGAAGAGCGGCGGGTAATTTTAAATGGAATCAAAACAAAGGCAAAAAACGCGATAGATGGCGCAAACTACTATGTAGTGTTACCAAATTATAAGTTTAAAGCAAGCTTGCCAGAATTAATTCATTTTAATTACATGGTAATCTTCAACTTATGTTTATCTAAAATACAAAAGAATATTCAAGCATCGCTATGGAGGAAATAAATACATAATTTATAAGCTAAGTTATAAATTATAGATTTACAGTATATACCTATGTAGTTATACTTTGCCTATGTATATCATAGACACATTTTTTCCTATACTAATCCGACATTAATTAATATATTATTTTGTTGATGTTGCCTAGGTGGCAACAACATCAAATCAAGTGTTGCCAATTTAAAATTAATTAAAGTTAGTTGTGGCAACGCGGTCAATTGTCACATACAGTTTTTTATTATTGTGTTTAGTTTTTTAGTCAGTCGCACGTGCATTTTGTTTTTGAAATAATTTTTATAAAATATGACCGATTTTGAGATGCAAGAAAGTGATTCAGAATATTATTCTGAGGATGAATCCGAGACAGAGGTAGATAATTAAAAATATTTTAAGAAAAAAATTAAAGTAAACATTTATTTCATTCAACAGTTGCAAGAAGCTTTTGCTCGCGGAGACTTGAAACCTGGACTCAATGTTGAATTTCAAAAGGGAAAAGATAAAATAAATGATATCGTATGTAAAATATGTCATATTATAAGCAAATATTAAAAAACTCAACATTTCAGCCCAAAATTTTAGCAAAAACAGATGAAATAAAAAATGATTTACCTTGGTTGGAACGTATGGACATGGTTAATGATTTGGCACCATTGGCACCCGAATTAGCTATTGCCTTAGAGAAGCACGAACAGAAAAGAGCCAATATGTTTAAGGGTAATGCAAAATTACATTATGTTCGTCCAGAAGAAGATCCTGTGTTGAATGATTTCAAACGTGAAATGTTATTCCATCGCCAAGCCCAAGCAGCTGTCATTGAAGGTATTAGACGTTTACATGAATTAGGCATCAAGACAAAACGTCCCGATGACTATTTCGCCGAAATGGCTAAATCTGATGAACACATGCAAAAGGTCCGTTCCAATTTGATGGCCAAACAGGAGGGTCAAGCTAAATCTGAACGCATACGCCAAATTAGAGAACAACGTAAAATGGGCAAAATGTTGGCTAAGCAAACAAAAGTACAGCGTGAAATGGAAAAGAAGGATATGCTCGATAAGTTGAAAAAGTTCCGTAAGGGTAAATTGAAGAATTTAGATTTCTTAGAAGATGCCAAAGCCTTGGAAGCAAAAACTAAAAAATCCGCCGCCAAGAGAAAAGAACGTAATAAGAAATTTGGCTTTGGTGGCAAGAAGAGTGGTTCGAAACGCAATACCAAATCGTCATCCGCTGGTCTTGAACGTACAAAATTACCCAGAAGTAGAGTGGGCTCAAAGGCTGCACCGGGTAATAAGCGTGTAGGAAAAGCGAGACGGTTAAAAATGAAATCTAAGAAATAAATTTTGATTATAGATTTAGTATAAAATAAAACTTTAGTGTTATTTTTTATTTCAAGGATTATGAAAACGTTTATATGAAATAACAATAGAAATAAGTTATCTTTTGAGTACCTAAACATTTTACACATAACTAAAACTTTCAATCTGACTTGCGCTGAATCCTGTTATTATGGATGCACTCCCATGTTGGCTATACTTAATTTCAATCTGACTTGCGCTAGATCAATTTAGGTACTGTATTCAGTTCACATAAATTCCTGTTGTTATGGATATACTCCCATGTTGCCCATACTTAAGTAAATCTAAAAATAATAGATTTTTGCAAACTAATCGAATAATTCATAAATTTGAAAAGTATTCCTCCTATTCTGCAAATTTATTGCAATTATATAAAATATTTAACCGATTTTTAGTCAAAAATACATAAAAATTGAGATATCTTTTTCCTATAAAATAAAATTTAAAAATCGAAGTATTTTGGGGAAAAAATGGATTTTAACTCATCTTGTCAGAAATAGATGTAAGATCAGCTGAAAACTATTATGTCAAAAACACGTTTTGGGAAAAGTGGCGTTTAAGCCCTTATTCGCATCCATACATATATTAAAATCAATAATCTTAAACAAGAAAATTGGTCAAAGTACTTATTATCTTGATACATCTAACGAAACTTCTTATTAATCACATAGGAGGTCGCTGTTTATAAATTAAAACTTTTTAAATGCTTCTTTTATTGTACCTAACACAGCTGAAAATTTGTTAAATTAATATCATTTAAAAAGTTAGTTTGGGTATATATAGTACCCTTACAATAAATACTGATTGTAATAGTACAAAACATTAGTAGAAACAAACATGTATGTCCAAATTAATTTAAAAGTTTCATTCAATATCTTTATTTCTATTTTTGCTTTTTTTCTTTTTATGTACAACTTCATCTTCCACTTTATCTTCCAAAGTTTTATCTTTATTTTTCTTTTTCTTCTTTTTTAGAGGTTCTGAGTCATCATTGGCTTCCACAGCATGTTCTATCGTGTTAGTTTCTAGTTCTGAATCTTTATTTTTCTTCTTTTTCAATTTTTTATTAGTTAATTCTTGTGCTTCTTCAGAAGCTATTGCTTCACAGTGTTTTCGTTTCTTTTTCTTTTTGTTAACATTATCTTCTTCACATACATCTATTTCAGGTGCTTCCAGTGTTTTATCTTTTTTCTTTTTCTTCTTTTTTTCCTCTGTAGATTTTTCCTGATTATTTTCTAGCTTATCTTCATTCGAAGCATTACGCTTTGCCAGCATCTTGGCCAACAATTCAGCTTCCTGCTGTTCAATTCTTGATAGTTTACCACTTAGTTTTAAACCATGTCTAGCTCCTTTGTGAGCGGTTCTACCTCCACACGCTTTAAATAATTCCTCATCCGTTAAGACTTTTACCTTAGAGACCTCTATATCATTAACATCTATTTTATCAGGATTTTCAACTTCACCGCCCAGATTAGTTAAGGTTGCTGCTTGCAAGAAGTTGTCGTAAGCAGCCTTCATTTCATTACTTTCGCTTCTGTTATTTTTTAACTTTTTCAGCTTTTTTACTGAGTATCCTTTAGTGGAAATTTCAACACCATCATCGTCATCTTTCAAACCCATTTTTATTTGTTCTCCTTCTTTTTGGACATTTACATTCGTAGCAGCTTCATTAAACACTCGCTCCCACCAGTGGTTATTAAAATCCGCTGCAGCCTGGTCAGCTCCAAAGCCAGCATTATCAAATTTTAATGTGGCCCTTAATGGTTTAGCAATGCCATCTTTGTTTTTTCCCAAACCATCACCATCTTTCCATCCATAATTTAATAGGATTTTACGAGCAAAATCCATTGAATTTATTAATAGGTTCCTTTAAATTGTTTAATTCTTTACAATAATATAAAAAACGTGGATACAAGAAAAACAAAACAATTGGATGCAAGGCGATTTCACATAAGGTGATATTCAAGGTGAATTCACATAAGGTGGTATTCAAGACGAATTCACATAAGGTGGTGTTATTCAATCAAAGTTTTATAATGTATACATTTTTATATTTAAATGACACCGCGCCGCCGACGACTTCTTTCGGCTCAAAAGCTAAGCCGCTGATAAAGATTGGAATCGCACATGTATTTCAGAAAATAATTTCACCAATTTGCACGGAGTTGCCATTTTTTTAAATTCTTATGGCTAATTGAAAAGAGTTGCCACACAATATTGTGCTAATATTAAAATAGTGATAACTACTATAATAATGTAAATTTTTTGCAGAAAAAACTTATATAGAGATAAGTTTCTATATAACAGACTATTATACAGAGAGTTATCAATATAATAAACGCTTATAAAGTAAATTTTTGAAGAAAAAGTTAAATTGAGCCGACAATTTAGCCGCCGCCGATATTTTCTATAATGAGCCGCCGTCGCCGACCTAAAATGGTTGCGCCGCCGCCGATCATTTTGCATCGGCTTGCATGTCTGCTTGGTGGTAACAGCAATTATATATGTGCATCATAATTCTCTAAGAGCGGGTTTTTGAGATGGTAATCAAATGCCAATTAATAATCAGATTAGTTAATCTAAAAATAAATTTAAATTATGTTAATCCCCTTTGATGTTTTTGAGTACAAGATTAAACTTCGCAGTGTTGCCATACAAAACAACAGAAAACTTTACTGTTTGTTATCAAAACAATGCATATTTTATAAAAAAGAAGAAGACAATTGTAAATTTAATATGAAAATTAATGAAAACTTAAATTAAAAACAAAAAAATGTGTTTTAAAGTGTCCATACTAATCAATAAATAGAACATTTTAATGTTTATATTTATAAAAATTTTATAAATTTTTTGGCATCAGCTGTTTACACTTTTGCATTTCGAGCTTATGATTAAACCACCTCCATTGGGCGCTTAAACTTGCAAATAAAATTAACTAATTGAGTACTCAAAAACATCTTTCGAGGATTAATTTTAATTTAATCGCTAATCTTTTACCTAAAGATTGGCCCTAATTCCTATAGAATGTTAAATTCCTCCATGAATGAATTAATTTTGTTTGCATTCAATATGTTACAAATTTATTTATTTATTTTTGAATTCCCTCTGAATGATAAAAATTTTGTTGGAATTTTATCTATTACAAATTAAATTTAAATTTTTCAACCATTCAATGAAATAAATTGAATGAAAGTTTTGTTTTATAATTCAAAATTATCAGGCCTATTTTTGCATCTTCAGAAAACGAAAACCACTTAGTTTTTAAAGTGGTAAAAGTAAAAGCTAAATCAAAATCGATCGGAATAATACGGAAATGGAAACCATTCCAATCAAAATGTGTGATAGAAATGTGTATTTGGAAAATATAGACTATCACACATCACTACCGAAAAGCTTTTAATTCCGTATTTATACATTCGATAGATTTCGTTTTAGCTTCCCGTTAATTAATTCAGAAAGATATTACGTTATGTTATTGACACATTTTTGTAAATATTTCGAATGGATTGCAATTCCATGGTTATTGCATTATTCTTTGGTTATTGCCTTTAAGTATACTACTTTCCAAATTTCGGTAGCATCAGAATTTGATACATCCTTTTATTCAATTCGCCCTAGGGGTTATATCCCACTTTCAAAAGCCAATCCTATTAATCATTCAATTCGAACATTTTAATTTTCAAATACAGTAACTGAGTGTAGAAATGTTAATTAAAAGAACGAACATTTATCTGATTAAATTATTGACTTTTTATTTCTTGATGTTTTTCTTCAAATACTATTATTTGTACAGCAAGTATTATTATTTTGTGAGTGATTACAAATGTGAGTTAAGTATAGAATATATCGTTATTCCTTTCGACTAGTATTTCAATGCACAGTTCAAATATTTAAAATCAATAAAAAAAAACAAATAAACGTAGCTTATGGTAAAACTGCAAAATTGGACATCAATGCAATGAATGTGCCATAGAGGAGCATGTTCCACCGCAAAATGATGAGAGCGCGCCAATGGCTGCAGTGGTATTACTCTACTATGTACAACATAATTATACAAATATTGTGTGCCAACGTTTAATGATAAAATACCATTATTATTTGTAATTTATTTAAAATTTATTAAAAATTGTAAATAAGAAGAAACAAAAACTCAACTTAAAAATTGGGAGAAAAAAACACCAATTTAAAAAACAAATACACTAGAGACTTGATCTAAAATAGTTTACCTACAAAAGTTGTTGACTTCAAATAAAAAGGAATCTAAAATGAATTCGAATTTTTACACACGCACTCAAAAAAATAACAAAAAATGCAAACTTGCGGCGGTGGAATTCATTCCTAATCTACAATTATTCATTCAACTTCTGTCATTTATATATAACAATATCTTTTCTGGCTCAATCTCTAGCAGTATTGTGGCATTTAGTTTTCATTTTAAACCAATTATAAATCTTCAAAAATTTTCGTGTTTTTCTAATTTTTTATCATAGATTTTGTTTTATTTCCGTTTTAAACTTAAATAAAAAGTGTTGCTTTTTCTTTTTTATTACTCTTGGATGTTTTTTAAAAACAATAAAGATAATGGAGCTGTGGTTGTTGTAGTACAGATGTTATCAATTAATTTTGTTGTTGTTGTTATTATTATAAGATTTAACGTCTTCTTAAGGACTTAAATACACACTTTAGAAAGCGAAGAGGAGCAAGAAAGCCATCATAAGACAGAAAAGACCCATAGCTTCAGAAAGGGCGAAACCCAAGATAGCGTAGGAGAACAATTGTTGTTTCAATGATGGGTTTCTGGCATAACCGATGATGAGGGAACCGAATACTGTTCCGATACCGGCACCTGTTGTATTGGAAGTTTAATTTATAAGAAAGAGATGGAATGAAAAAGAAGATATATGTTAGCAAAATTGTTGCATAAAGAATTTTTCACTTAAATTTTTTTCTTAAAATTAAATAATTTTTTGTTATGTTTAGAGAAAAAGTCAGTCACAGATTAGTCTGAATTGAGTTCTGTTCTATAACAAGTTTTACAACTTATTTTCAAACAGCAAGCACATCGCACTAAAATTGCTGGTCACAAAAGATTTCAATGGATCATTTTTGTAACAAAAACAAACCAGAATTTCTTGTCCCTTTGCCTTTTAATCATACAAGTTTCCTGCTAGAAAATTTATTAGTTTAAGTTCACATGTATAACACAACATGTTTTTTTCTGAACTTTGACCAAATCTCAGACCTTCCCGAGGCAATATATAGAGTAATCAAATACTCGTCTGTAAGCCCCAGATGCTAGATTGCAACTGACTTAGAGTGTAAACATTTTCAAAAAATTATTATGTTGAAAAAAATCACAAGTGAAAAATTTTTTTTTTTTTAAAGATTAATTTTTTACGAGGCTTCCAATACTAACCGGAACCAGCTACACCGACTGTTGCAGCACCAGCACCAATGAATTTGGCAGCTGAATCAATGTCACGAGTGACAGGGGAGGTCTGGAATGACCTGATTTGTGGCAGTAAAGCAACTGGGGTTGTGTTCTGAGCGGCCAAGGTTTGGCTTTGGCTAATGACTGCGCTGCTCAATGGTCTCAAGTAAGCCTTGGAGCCGTTAACGAGCTGAAAAATAAAAAAATAATTTAAATTAAAAATATTGTACATAGATAAGAGACCATAGAATAAATAGTATGTATAATAAAACAATGATGTATCCTACAACTTATCTTTTAAACAAGGATATAAACAATGTTACCTATTACCTATTAAGTATTTAAAGTTGTTATTCGGAAGTGATTAACTAGTATTTTTTTAATTGCAAACAATTTACAAAAAATGTAACTTTTGGGAAAATTTTCTTTTTTTAAAATTCAACTATTAATTTCGAAAAATGTTTAAAAAATTTAATTAATTTTAACTCACACGAATTTAAAGCATTTACATAAATTTTGATAACAATTTTTGTTGATTATTTAATCATTAGATAAAAGAAAATTATTTAACCTTAATTAGAAGAACAAGAAGTAAAAAAACATGCTCAATAAAATCTGTAAACTAAAATTTCACGAGACGAAAAAGGGGAGTTATGCAATAAATTTTGGCAAAAAATACATCTTATGAAAAAGAAAAGCAATTGTTTACAAAGTAAAAATACTATAAATTGGATTAATTTAAACTTTTTAATGAATTATATATATTTTTTATTTAAATTTGTAAAAAAAAAAAATAAAAGGGAAAACAAAAACACGAAATAAACAAATTTATTCTAAATAATTTGATCATTAATTATATAAATTTATAGTTGTTACTTTTGAGAAAATTACACATAAATAATTAATAAATAAAAATGTTATACAATTAAAAATACAAAAATAACATTTGAAGAATATTTGTGGCCGGTAAATAGATGTCACGCGGAACTATTAAATGCAAAATAATATTTAACCCGGTTAACATTATAAACAAATATTTTATTCATCATGTTATATTTGAAACAAAATTGTTATAAAATATTGCTAAATACATTATTTCCCTAAAGGAGTCTACATTGTTTTCATATTCTTTTTTTGCTTAACCTAACCTCAAATTTAACTTATGTAACGTTTTTTGGATTTTTTCTATATTTTGACAAATACAACTTTTTCTTAAAAGAGCGCGGTCATTGGAAATTCACCTCAACGTGGGAAATATACTACACACGAAGAGAGAATACGCGTAAACGAAGAGTAAAGAAGAAATGAAAAAAGCCACTACTACATAATGATGTATAGAAAAAATCGATTCTATGGAAACTTATGTAATGCATAAAATGCAGTTTTATTCAATAAAATAAAAATTAATACTTACAGCGGACCTGGCAACGGGGGCAATACGGGAGACTGTTGATACGAACATTTTGATTTGTTTTTTTTTTAAGATGCTTTGAAGATCAACAAAGAATTGAAGCTAGCGCACGTAGGCTCTGTAATAAAAAGAAAATTTAAATTAATTTATTTGCAAAAAGTAAAAAAAATACATTTATAAATGTTATAAACTTCTTAAGTAATAAAACCCTCATTAAAAAAAACTGTCAAGGTATTTGCAACATTTTTCTTCTGTTTGCCATTTGCAGTGTTGAATTACGTAACCCCAGTTAGGCCTATTTAGTATTCCCACAATTCTTTTAAAATATTGCCATAAAATATTTTAAAATTATTTGCTTATTATAATTGTAACAATTATTTAACACTTTTTATTAAATAAAATCACTTTTTATTTCTAAAATTCTAACATTTATTTATCCCAATTACTAATGAAGCTGCTGAAAGCCGCTGAACTTGATTCCAACTGACAACTACTAAATGTCGTGTCTGTAAATTGGCAAAGTAGTGTTCGGTAGTTATTGGAAGTATTGCCATCTCTTTTCAGCAAATCTACCACTGCCGAACAAGATGGCCGTCTTCACCTCGATTTTTTTCATTCTTAAATATCTACCACACCACTATCTCGTTGGAAATTTTTTTCTCAGCAACTTGGGAGAAATTTAAGAAAAATTTTCTTTTTTCTAATTTAAATTTTAACACTTTGATTGGCAAATGTAATTAAAGCTTTACATTGTTTTATTACAATAATTAAAAGAAAATCTTTCAAAACACTTTCAACTGTTCACGTTTTACTTTGACACAATGATTATTTAACACCACCAATGTGATTACATATATAACAAAAATTATCTTTATTTTTTCTACTTAATGCGGTAACTTAAATCTTTGCGTGTACTCACTTCGAACGAACCCTGACAACAGTGGCCAAAATGAAATGAGTAGAAATATTACGTCGGACAAGCTAATATTAATGTCTGCATTGGAATTTTCACACCGTGGTGAACTGGAATTTTGACAGTAATTTTCCGGTAGCTGTCAAAGGAAGGAGTATGTTCAGTGCTAAAAGCTGAGTTGCATTTTGTTTTATAAATAGTTTTTATAGCTTTTTTTGTTCAATATATATGAAAATGTAGTAAATTCAATTGTCAGAAATGTTTGTTTTATAATTTAATTTCGAAATTTAAGCTAAATTTGTTATTTTGATGAAAAAACAGTTTGTTAAATATTAATTTAGTCTGGCAATGATGTTAACACGTTTATTTTCTTCTTATATTCCCATGCTTGGAAGTATACTTCCAATCATGTGCCATTTTGCTTAGGTAACAGTATCAACAGAGTTGTATTCATCTTATTTTACGACCAAGTTACATTGAATTTGTTACATAACCTTCGAAGAATCTTTGGATAAAATAATTGATTGTTTCAAATTAATTTCAGATTTTATTATTATTTTAAAAATAAGATTATTTTGCAAGAAAACGAAATGCGATAGAAAATATTGAGAATATAAGTAATTTATTAAATGTGTATACATAATTAAAACATTTAAGTCTTTGTAAAATTTCCATGATAATAATAATCTTATATAAGTCGAATATTTTACAATAAGAACCTTGTTTTATGATCGACTTTCAAATAAGGGAACTTTTATTGAAATAAAATACTTTGTACCGTTATTTTATATACCCTCTATGTTCAGAATTGTTGCGTACATTTTAAAAATCATTAACAAATTTGAAACTAAAAAAAATGTTTCAAAAAAACAATGTTTTTATTTGTAATCATGAAGCATTATATTTTTAACATAATAATGGAAAAAAGAACAAAATCGATAAGTCAGAAAAAGTCGAAAAGTAGAAAATTTCATAAAGCAACTAACTAGTCGATATTTTTGTGTTCTTAAATATTTTTCGCGTTTTTAATATAATGGTAACTTATATTAATACTATACAATTTTTCTATATTGCTTTACGATTTTCTGTGTTATGGTGTTTATTTCCTTTCGAAAAACGTTGAAAAAAGTACTAAAGTCGAAAAAAATACGAAAAAGTCAGTATTAAAAAATTCTAAAATTTGACTTTTTTAAATTGCAGAGTCGAAAGTCGACTATTTGTATCAACTATACCACCTTATTTTTTCATTTGTAAACCTGGAAAGATTCATAAACATTGAAAAAGTAGTAAAAAAAGTAAACAAATTCTAAAAAATTCAATATTCGAAGTCCAAAATTTCAAAAAATCGAAAAATTTTTTAATTAATTAAAAAGTCGACTTTTTGTTTCAACTAGAACCCTAGGTATAACTGCTACAAACTAGGGTTCTATAGTTGAAACGAAAGGTCGACTTTTCGACTTTTTTCATTTAGTTAATTTTGACTTGTTTCTACAATTTTCGAGTTTTCGACTTTTTGACTTTTTTCGACTTTTCGACTTTTATTAACAAAGTCGACTTTTTTCACAGACCATAGTCGAATTATCGACTTTTTTGGAACAAAATAGTCGACTTCGACATTTCGACTTTTTTCGACAAAAAGTCGATTGTTCGATTATTCGAAATTCGATTTATAGAACCCTACTACAAACTTAAAACATAATGAGCTGAAACAACTACCCACTGAACATCGAGAAGTTAAACGCTGTCAAAAAGTACCTAAGTCTACTGTCAGTCGGTACCTAACTCTAAGAATGTATTAGTAGAATTCTTAAGCCAACATAGTTGCAAAAAGTCGAATATAAAAATATTGAAAGAAATTATTACATTTAAATTTTTATTTTAAAAGATTTTTTTTTTAATATTTTGCAAAATAATTTATCTATAAACATTTTAGAAGAATATATGTTGGCTTTTTAATCTGCAATATTGAAAAAATAAACAATTTATTTGAAATATTTTTTTCTTGTACAATACGAAAATTTACAACATTGTATTATTTCAAAAATTTAATGTCAAAAAAATAAAAAATTATTTTTTCGTTTGTAAAAAATAGGTTCTTTTCGGGCTATTAAATAAATTTAAATTGTGCAAAAAAATAATAAATTATAACGTTAACGTCACAGTTTCATTTTGGTAGGGTTCTATAAATCGACTTTCGAATAATCGAACAATCGACTTTTTGTCGAAAAGTCGAAGTCGACTATTTTGTTCAAAAAAGTCGAAAAGTCGACTTTGTAAATAAAAGTCGAATGGTTGGAAATAAAAAGAAAAAAGTCAAAAACTCGAAAATAGAAGAAAAAAGTCAAATATGGTCGAACATTTTTAAAAAGTTGAAAAAAGGTCAAAAACTCTAAAATAGTCGGAAAAACTCGAAAAATTTCAAAAAATAGTCGAAAATAGTCAAAAAGTCATGAAAAGTATTTATAAAATACTGAAAGTTGAAAAGTTAATTAAATGAAAAACGTCGAAAAATCGACTTTTAACTAAATGCAAAAAGTCGAAAAACCGATTTTTAACTAAATGCAAAAAGTCGACTTTTCGTTTCAATTATAGAACCCTATTTCTTGGTGTTCAGTGCAACTACCATTCTGATTTGATTTAACAATGTAACTTTCAACTACACTAATGATTTATTTTGCTAACCTACGAAAAAACTATTGCATTTTTTAAATATATAAATAAATTATATCTTGGATTAAAATTATTAAAAATAATTACGCCAAATTTTTTTCTTGCTATTTTATACTAAAAAGTATTGGCAACCTTGTAAACTTTGTGACTCACCACACCTGATGTTAAATAAGCACCTTTAATTAAGGTAACATTAAAGTAAGTTTTTGTTTTAGACAACGCATAAAAATATGAAAAAATATAATACCATTCGCAATATTTAGTTGTTTCATATTTAATAAAGATTATCGATTTTTAATTTAACAAAGTATAGAAAACAATCCATACTAATTTGTTTACTTTCTCTCAGCAGTTCCGATGTATCGTCCGTCAGTCGTGAATTTGTATAGATATATTCACCACCAAATAGTTTGTGTTTTCGCCTTGAATTCGTTGGGTTTGTTTTTCATTGCGCATTCGAATCGCAGCGTCAGCAAAAGAGGTCGCGTCGCGAGGTGTCTTCGTCTTAGCAACGCACGGTTCGAACATGTTCTAATTTAAAAAAAAAATCATTTAAAACGCCCTCAAATTTCTGCAAATAATATAAATACTAAGCAAAATGTCGTTTTAAATACTAACCAATATACGGATCTATAAACAATTGTGCAAAACTTTAAAGAATTTAGCTGCGAAAAGATGATAAATTAGAAAATCGAAATATGTGTTTGCTTTGACTAAAGTATATCGCATCATATATAGCAGCCCCCCAAATAAAAAATTGCATAACAGCGTCAGTAGATGTGTGTATTTTGTGTATGGTGTGTGTGTGTGTGCGTTTATGAATAAAAACAACAAAAATAGCTAGAAAATAGAAGAGAGCGAGAGAGGGTATATCATATATTCGGTTTGTCACGAAGAAACAATAATATAAACAACAAAAATAGAAAACAGTAAATTTAAAGAAGGGTGGGTTAGTGTGTATATGTGTAAATGTTTTTACAAACAAAATAAATTCACCACTCTTACAACAAAACTAACATTTATTATCTTACCACACCACCTTAGCAACTGCTAAATAAATTTATACAGAGCTAACTACTGCTACGTATAACTAGCATTTGAATGTATCTAGCAGAGTATTAATCTACCTAACTTATTCATATACAACAACAAAACAAAATAAACATAATAAATATCCGTCCAGTGTTTTAAGAAGTGTAATTACTTCTCCCTGTATCTGAAACATCCATAGATACAATTATACAGATACTCTATATAGGTACATACATATATTTATTATGTACATATCTGCATAAGTATTAACATGCGTCTGAGTGTGTGTGTGTGTGCGTGAATGTTTGTTTTGATTCACACAAATAGAAAATTAAAATAAACAAAAAGTCTGTGTAGTGCAAGTTATTAAAAAAATTAAATTAAAAACAAAAGAAGTCCATGAAGCCCCGCTTTAAAATGTCAAAAGTGTAAATATTTAAACAATACAACGCAATTTTATAGGATTTTTTTTATACCTACAACACATTTTCAAATATTCTAATAATATAAATTGGGGATAATAAGGTAAGTTAAGTTTTAACTTACGGCATTTATTTAGTTAGCAAAATTCAGTGTCTACAACTAGTCCTAGATATATTAGTGTTTTAGTAAAATTTGTTTATCAAATTCTTTATGAGCTGGATTTTAGTTTGAAGATCATCCGAAATATCATTCAAATAATCTCTAAACTAGCAATCAATGATAGAAGTCAAAAACAACAAAATGCATTTAACATAAAATTTAACTTTTTATCAACCAAAGCCATATTGTAGCTATTAATCACAAGGATAAAACATCTTCAAACTATTTTTTTTATCAACGAAATTTTGTTTTTGATACACCTACCTATAAGTATCGCATTCTTAAATATTCATTAAAAATTCCGTATATTTTGGTAAATATTTCAAATATTTTAATACTTTTTTTTAGTACATATACATGTACATTAAAGGTTTCATTTCTAGCTTTAATGAGAAAGAATATTTATAATAAAAATCATGGTATAAAGAAAACAAGGTAACTCCGTTCTCTCTTAATGAAAAATTTTTTGACGTAAATAAGATTTTTTGATATTTAGTTTTTGTAAACAAATAAATAAAAACGTTGCCACACAGTTTAAAAGGGAAATTATATTTAGGAAATCAGAATTAAAAAATGTGTAATTTTGTTTACTACAAAAGTGTAACTGTTGTGAATTGCAAATATAAACGATTATAAATACGTTTTAATAAATGTTTTATTATTGTTTTATATTTTTATATAAACTAACACTTTATAAAGAACGAATGAAGGTGATTAACCATAAATTCGCTGGAATTTCTTCTACTCAATGGTAATTTCTTGGTGGCGTATCATAATGTCCAGTGACACAATGTCCATGGACATTATGACACTTTTAAAAAAGAAAAGATTTGGAAATTTTATTTAGATATAAAGAAAGGGACACTCTCATCCCGAAAAGAGTTGCTCCTAAATTTGGTGTATGTTGCATTTTGGATTGGATTAAAAAAGTGTCCGCGTAAGGGTGTTTTAAATTCTAGGGTATTTCGAATACCGGCTTCGCTATATTAAGACATTTTTGATAAATGTACTTTTTTATGTCCTTTTGCTCGTAGACATTGTGACACTTTTAAAATTGTCAACGTCCATGGACACTATGACTTAATTTAGTGTGTCATATCGTCCATGGACATTATGACACGCCAGCTAATTTCTTTATTTGGGTTTTTTAAGGGACTTCAGGACGTGCTTCTGAATTGCTAAAAGGTACTGGTTAATTTACTGGTATTCCTAGATCTTGTCGCCTGTGTGCAATGAAAATCGAAAATAGAATCCACTGGCATATTCCGTTTTAAAGTCAGGTCAAAATAAGGATATTTTCCTTTTTGTAAAACGTAGTATGCCACTGGATTAAAAGGGATATTATAAGACTTTAGTGTTAATAAATGGCCTATAGGACATACACACACACAATATATACGATGGTCCTGAAGAAGTAAAACTATCAAATATCGTGAGCGCTGCTAGATTAGTACGATATAAGATTGATCAGAACATTTTCGCTATTTATTAAACAAAATTATATTCTCTAGAACAAAGACGTCAGCAACTTTCTTCTTTGATGGTATGTTGAAACTCCCATATAATGCTGGCCAGCATCTCCCGACACACAAATTTGGAAGCAACAGACTTTGGTAGATAGTATTATTTGATTTATATTTTGAAATCTCACGGGTTATTTGTTTTATTTATAATATTTTTTAATTTATGTTTGAAAAATTATTTTTTACAGTCATTTGAAAAAGAAATATAAAAGTAAACAAAAAACATAGGTTTTTAAGGTAGATATGGTAGCACGATTTTAAGCAATAAAATAATAATTCGCCCAAACGTCAGAAGTTTAATATGGCTACAAAAAGAGAGAACGGCTATACCTTTATTTTTTCTACTATGATAAAAATATATTTTAAACTACTACCTATTAACCCGTTTTGAACAATCTTTAAACTTTAAAAATTTGATTAAAGGGAAAAATGGGTTTTATTCACTTTTTGCATAAAATGTGCAAAAATTAAAAATTTTTTTAAATCATCTTTCTTAAAAATTGAACACACCTTTATTGTTAAAATTTTATCTACAAACATGTATGAATGTAGATTAGAGGTGTCCAAAAAATATCGTTTTTGTTTGGATGGGTCTTATTTTGTTCATTAGTGTCTAAAACTAACTGGTGTTAAATTTTAGTCTAACAAAGCTCATATCTCCGTTATTTATGGACCGATTTCGCCGATTTCAAATAGCGATCTTCTCGAAAGCATGTCTGATAGATTTATTAAAGATTCGGATCTCGCTGATATCTTTGGGCTTCTGAAAACCCCTCTAGACTGACGGCGCCATAAACTGGTGGTCAATTATATCCCCGGCCTTTTTGAAGTAATTTGACCTGTAGTCGAACCTGAGAACTGTATAGTCTGGTACCACGGGAACCTCCCCCCAAGCCATGTTTCCTTGATGATAGATCCCACCTTGGTGCATTGCAATTCTGGAATGAAGAAGTGCTACCAGTACCTCTAGTCTTCCGGCACTATAAACTGGTGATGATCAAATGTATCCTCTGTTAGTCTGTTGGTTGAGGTTCCTTCGGGATCCACGTAGTGGCTGTGGTTTAAACCCAAATTCGCAGGAAGGGGCACTTGTTTAAACAATTGATGCACAGTGTAATATAATTTTTCGGGATAAGTTTATGTTACAATCCACAGGGAAAGGCTGTGGAATAATATAATGTTGGATTTGAGCTGATAATGTAAAGATTAGGTATGCGTTGGTGTGCGATGTACCATGGGATACTTGTTATATTTGCGGTGATGTCGGATGGAGTGGTGGTTGGAGTGGCGTTCGATTTGTTTGAGACGTTGGCGTTGTCATGGTTGTGTGTGTTGGAGTTTACTAGGGTGATCGACTCGGATTTTCAACCAGTTTTAAAACAGTTTTTTTATGCTTTTTCAGAGTCGGTTTTTTCTAAATGTTGATTTTTCGAATAACGAATAACTCGGTTTTTTTTACTTTTTAAAACCCGGTTTCGAATACTTTTTTTGCTTTGTATTCAAAGATTACTTAAATTAAATTTTGAAGTAAATAACAGCCCGTCTAAATTTTAAAAATATTGGAGTCCAGCAACTAGAGTATATTTTTCTAACACACCTTTTATTAAACTTTTTTTGATTTTCCTAATTAATTAACAAATTTTATTTGTAATATTTATTGGTATAACTGTTTAATAAAATTTTATCAATCTTAAGATTATATTCCAATTACAATAATTAATTAGCGGCTAAAATATTATGGAATGCCTATGTAAATTGTCTAAACAGGGATTTTGGAATAAGCATAGTTAATTATGTTTAACGAAAGTGTCCCACTTTTATCCATTTTTACATTAAAGTAATAATGTAAATTAGACGACTAGATCTAAAGTTCGGCGCAAGTTTTATAAATCAAATTTAAACATAAACGTTATTTTTTTCAAATTAAAATAGATTTTGATATTTACAATGAAAAACCGGTTGACCGCTTTTTTCTGTAATTGAAAAATGTCAACCGTTTTTTTTAAATGTCAACTATTCGAAACCGGTTTTTGGAAAATGTCGAATAATCGATCACCCTAGAGTTTACTCTTTAACATTCTCAACTTATTGCAGTAGGTCATTGTATAAAGTCTTGTCAATTAACTAGTGATTGGCTTTTCCTTTGCCGGGGTTTGATTGAGATTGTCTCATGATACCTGTTTTTCCTCAACGGGGTTACTATGGCAAGAGATTGGATAGCTCTAGTACTTGAGCAAAGTGCTTGTATATGAACTGGCAAATTGCCACCTGCGTGTAAGATACACAAAGGGGCGGTGGTGAGTCGTCAAAACTCAGCTAGTGGCTGAAAAAGTCCACCGTGAAATAAGGCCAACACGGCAGGTATTCACGTAAAGCGTTTCGACATTCGGTGCCACGGGAACAGTAGCCCACAGAGCAGAGTTTCGGATTTTGTTTTGTCCAAATTATTGTTGTGGCCCCTTTGGGAGTTTAAACCCAAACTAGCGGGAAGAGAATGTTTATTAAAGGACAGACACACGGTGAAATCTAAATTTCAGGATAAGTTGGGTGCTGTTGCCGAAAAAAAACAACAGATACTCCACAATGTGACTGTGGGACTAATATTGGAAATTGGTTGGTGTTAAATGAATAATGTACAGAATGAATCGGGGTTATATGGATCTATCCTTATCTACATATATACTCGTATGAATGTGTCGGATGTTAAGATACTGTGAAAATTTCACGAAAATCGGTACATCCGTTTAGCTGTTTATAGACTTTTAACAAAAATACAAACTACTGTGAAATAAGGCCGACGTAGGGACAAACAGGACTCGGCTATCTATGAGGACTCGCAATATGTATACGGATATACTTTATAGTTTCGGAAAATGATATTGTAAAAATTACAAACGCAATGATAAACTTAAATATATATATACTAGGGTGATCGACTCGATTTTTCAACCGTTTTTAAAACCGGTTTTTTCTGCTTTACCAGTGTCGGTTTTTTCTTAATGTTGATTTTTCAAATATCGAACAACCCGGTTTTTCACTTTTTAAAAACCGGTTTCGAATACTTTTATTTGCTTTGTATTCAAAGATTATTTAAATGAAATTTTTAAGGAAATAATAATACAGCCCGTCTAAATTTTAAAAATATTCGAGTCGAGGAACTATTGCATATTTTTCTACCGCTCCTTTGGTTAAAACTTTTTGATTTTCCTAACTAATTAAAAAAAATTATTTATAAAATTGATAACTGTTTGATAAAATTTTATCAATCTTAAGATTATATTCCAATTACAATAATTAATTTACGGCTGAAATTTTATGGAAGTGTTGGAATGCCTATGCAAATTTCCTAAACCGGGCTTTTAAAATAAGCTAGGATTACATAGTACCTTATGTTTAACAGAAGTGCCCACTTTTTTTCTAATTTTTTTATATTAAAGAAATAATGTAAATCAAACGACTAGATCTAAAGTTATAATCTTTTAAATTGTTAAAAATCATTTCGGGCCATGTTTTATTAATCAAATTTAAACATAAACATTAAGTTTTTCAAATTAAAATATATTTTTTTTTATTTATAATGAAAAACCGGTTAACCGGTTTTTTCTGAATTTGAATAATATCAACCGGTTTTTTTTAAATGTCAACTATTCGAACTATTCGAAAACCGGTTTTTGGAAAATGTCGAATAATCGATCACCCTAATATATACCCTTCTCACAAAGGTGAATGGTATAAAAAACCGAAAATAAAAAATTAAACGAATGTACCATAATGTTTGAAATCGTAATTTTTAGAGGTTTTTTTTATAAATACATATTCATGTTTAGATAAAAAGGTGATGAAGTTGTACGTTTTTATTTTTTAAAGATTTGTCGAAATGTATTTGCATAAATAATTTTGAAAATTGAGACGTTTGACTTTTTTAAGGATTTTTAATCGTTCTTAAATTTAAGAACATACGTTTTAGTTTAAGGTTGAGAAAAATGGTAATTTAGTATGCGATTTTTCTTTCTGTGTATGACTATGACTGCATGTTAGGTGTAAGAATTAATAGTATGTTATTCTTAGCCTAGTTTTGTGGAATTCCAGATACAACAATAAAACAAATAGGATAATTATGTTTATGAACGTTAGTATAAAGGCAGGTGGATTACCTATTTTGTTGCCTGTTAAAGGAATTAGGTATTTTTCTTTTAGGTTGTATCTATTATGTATTTTAATGACAAGATGTACGTACCTATATAAGATTAGGCAGAGAAGAAAACTAACACTTTAGCAAGTTAAATATATTTGAACGTTAATAATCAGTTATTATTGATAGTTTGTAAAGTAGGGGTAAGAGTTGCAGGTTTTTTGAGTTAATATACACATATAAATAATTTGTTATAGGTAATTATTGTTTATTTATGTACCTATTTATTAAAATCTATAAAATTTTCCCTTTCTTGCAGATTTAAATTTGACAACATTCAATTTATGTACTAACAAAAACCCACCGGTAAAATATTAATTGCAAAATTAGCAACGTGGAATTGGATTTGCAACAAATAAAAACAAAAACCAACCATTCGAACGTAGTACCCATAATACAACTTATAAACAAAATAAACTTAAAGAGAACGACAAAAAATTGGCCAAGCAACAATGATGGCGCAAACCAAAAGTTAGGAAACCACAATTTCAAACATAATCATAAAACATCATTATCATCGTAGTCATAATCACAATGCTCCACAACAGCAATAGAAAATAAGCAGCCAAGCAGGCAAAGAACAACAATACAATTAAAAAACTTGAACATATGAAGTTGAAGAAGTTGCACTTTGAAATTCACCACAACCGTTCTTTCAGGTGTAATGAACAATACACTCTCACACCATTCATAGATACAAAAGAGAGAGAGAGCTGCAATTTTAAGAGAACTAATTATTGCGTGAGAGTTATACAAAAACACCTTTAAAAACAGCGGTTGTCTGGTTGTTTACATGAAGCGGTCAAAATAAAGGTAGAAATACAAAAAAAACATACTGCCTGGCCGTCTGAATGTGTGAGTTGCGGCGAAAGCAAAAAAGAAGGTATAACAAAGTAGAAAACAAAAAACAGAGCGAAGTATAAAAGCCAAATTAGAATTAGCAACGTAACCAACAGTATTTAAAAACAACAACAAAAGTTGAAATTCAAGCAACAAACGCCTAGCGTTAAAAAGAGACAACAATATTGTATTAAATACAACGTCAACAAACCAACACCAATATACACGTTCAACGTAATTCACCACTTAGTAAACGTTCCAGAGAGAGAGAGAGTGTGTGAAAGAGTGGAATAGCAAGTCAAGTTAATAACAGAATCGCATAGAACAGGCAAAAAGAAACAACTACAGTCAACCATCAAAATCAACTCGCAATAGAACAAACAGCTAACGAGGAGCAGATCGACCGACCGAGCGACCAAACGTCGGACATAAGTTTTGTTTTTTGTGCGGTCGAAGAGCAAATAACGCAGCAATTGTCGGCGATTCCGCAGTCTGCTTTAGAAGGGACATGGCCGTCTTTTTGCTCAACATTTGTAAATTTAATGGCTGCGGAATCACATTTCCAAGTTTGGGTGATTTAATCCAACACATTGAGGACACACATATTGGTAAGTTGAAATATCAATATGTATGTACATTTACTATGTATGGATGTATCTATGTTATTTTAGAATTTAAGTATGTGTGTGTTTGCAGAAAAAATATTAGTTTTTTCGAATTAATTTTCTTAAACATCGTAAGTTTTTAAAATAGAATTGGTTTGTTTTAAAGTGTTTTATCAAAAGTATCTTAAACTTTAAGATTCATTTAGGTGGTGCGGTATTGTCGCGTGATACGTTAATTAAATAAATTGTATTTGTATCTATTTACATGCATATGTAAATATATACATACGTATGTATATACATATGTACATGACTTTGATGTCATTGGATTATTTTATTTAACTATAACGAAAACAACAAAATATATATGTACCTACATATAAATAAATAAATAAAAAATAATTCAAGTAATACCCGGCCTGGCATCCATGAAACCCGTACAATGTCCAACGTAAGCTTTTTAGATTTGTTTGTTTGTATATTTGATGGAGAAGAGAGTAGAGTGTATTTTTATAAACCACGAGTATCTGTGTATGTACTTTGAGTTTACATACAGTGTTGGAGAAAATAATAGTAATATACATATATGTACATTAAACTTGTGTACATATTTTGCCAATATTATAAACTGCATGAGGGTACACTTGATTAGAAATTGTTAAACCGTAATTTAAAACTTTTCTAAAATTAATTTTTATAATACATATTTTATAATTTAATCCTGTGCAGTGTTCTGTAACTTTCGAGTCGAGAAAAAAAATATTGAAATATTAGTCTTCCACTTTTTAGTTGCTTGATTCAAATAATTTTTAAACTAAACAAATTACAATTAACCAACATATATTTGAATTACGTGTGTTCACCCTGTTTTAAACAAGACGATTATATGTTTTTCGAATTTTTTGCCGATTCGAAAGTTACAGAACACAGGCACTGACCTCAGTATAATTTTTGATAAATAAAATATTTTCGATTTTTTCGAAATGAGTCTTATAGTGATCCACGTGACCCCCTAATGTGCATATATATGAACGTATACAGTGCGTCCTCGATTTGTGTAACTACCTATTAATGCAACGATTTGAGCAGCAGTCTATTTTTTAATATTACGGTCTTTATAGCAGCAACTTTTTTGTAAAAAAATTTAATATTATTTTAATGCTCAAAAATGTTAATTTATGCATTTTCTCCTGCGAGTGTATTTAAGCTTTGTTTTAGTAAAGTGAAGTAAATAAAGTTTGTAAAAAATCAGAAATTTTAAACAAATTGAGACTGTCAAAAACTTGTACTGTTCACAAAATAAATTCTTCTCAATGAAGGTCACGAAGTCATATATTAACGACCTGCAGGAATTCTTTCATTGCGTTTTTCTGTCGACAAACTTTTTTCTAATCTGATCTGAAGTCTATATCAAACTACATCTAGAAAGGGACGTAGAATTCGGAAAGTTACTAAACTAAATCTATATATTTTTTTAACGAATAACAAATATGTATATTAATTTTTTCTCGTTTCTATATCTTCTTGATTATTAAATGAGTTGAAAACCTAAACATTTGAAAATTTTAAAATTAAATAAAATTTAGCGGTCGGTTATTGCAACATTTCGAAAATTGCAACAACCACGAGTCCATACCTCTGTTTGTCTGTATTCTGAAATCAGTTTTCTGAAGATTCCATATATGTACATATCTTCAGGATTCAAATCTTTTATAATACAATCCGGAGACATGTATGTTCCAAATTTCATCAAAATATCTTGAACATTGCGGCCTGTACCTTGCGTACATGTACAGCCAGCCGGGCGAACCACCCCCACTATGGTGGTGTAGGATATAATTAACTTAATAAGGCGATATACAAATTTTTGAAAGTTTTAAAGTTCTCGATCTCCCTATTATTTTTTCAACACTGTATAATTCATATGTTTTAGTGAATGTTTTTTAATGCGCTACTCAAAATGGATCTGTAAATATTGACTATTTGTTTTATTTCTACAACTACTGCTGCTGTCTTTAGTGCTCTATAATGGGGTTGTTCACTGGCTGCATTATGGCAAAAAACAAGAAACTAAACAAAATAATATAAAACGATGAAATTGTTTATAATAAAATTACTTGCTGTCTATGTTTATGGCTTCTTGTTTCATCAGTGTTTTTAATATTTTTCTATTCTATACCTATGTACATATACATTTCTCCCCTAATCCCTCTTTCATTCACCAACAACCATCCATCAACACCACCATACATGCAACTTGCTTAGACGTTTTGTATCTGTGTGTATTTACATCCACAAGCGTCAGCTGTGTTTTGAATAATCGATATTCGTTGTTCTTTATGTATATACCTACATATGTGTGTACCTTTTGCGTTCGTTAATTCTTTTCTACGCACACTTGTTCTCTTTTAGTTTATAACGAGAGCAAGTACATTTACACAATGCAGTTGCCAGATAAATTAAATCCACAATTTTACTGTCAATGATAACTGTTGTTGCCATTTTTTGCAAAATTATTTATTGTAATAGGAAGCTGACACTGGGACTCAATTTACACGTTTCAGAACAACTTAAGAATTTTGTAATTTTTTTCCTATAAGAGCATAATTTGATTTTGATAGCATAAGTACGTATTTTAAAACATATTTCGAGTTTTCAAAGCTAATTTTAATTTCTTTTTGAATTTGTTTAATATTATTTATTGCATAATAAGATCTAGTAAATATATACATATGTATGTATGTATATACGTACATACCTATTATTATTATTATTAAGTTTTGAATTTCAAAATATGTACCTTAAAAACAAAATTGATTTGTCAAATTTTGCAATAGCTATGTACATACATTGGTACATATACACATATTTTTTTAATTTATTAATTATACCTAAATCTCAATATTATATTATTTTTCATTTGTTTTTAAGTAATTCATCATATTTTTTAATATTAACCTTTAAACTAAATTAGCCCGTTATTAACGTAAAAACAACAATAACCGGCTTATTTCAAGTTAGGTACCTATAAGTTTTTTATAAACAAAATGTAGCATTAAAAATAAAATGTTTTTATAAATGTTTTGTTGTGATACAAAAATTCACCTCACCTTTATCGAATATGTATGTGTTTGTTGTTATTGTTTCTCTATCTCTCTTCTCACCACTTTTCTACATATATGTATATATGTACATACATATGAATGTATGTAGATAGTATGTACATATGTATATAAACAACTTTCGATACCGGCGTTTTTTGTATTTGTTTGTAACACGTAGTATGTAACAAGATCATTTGGATCGATTAATTGATTTTGTCAGGTTAGGTCTAGTAAATGCAAATTATACTCAATACTATCTTTTATTAGATATACTTGAATCCATTGGATATTAATTATAAAGAACTATTTTAAAGATTGTCTTCAACTAATAATATTTCAGTAACTTAATCTGTTTCAGTAAATGTAAATGGAAGAAAATCGGATATTAAAGACTGAACTAATTCACTTTGCACAGTTCTTGATCTATCATCTTATAATCGTGTAAATATCCTGGGAAATTCTATAGCATCGTTATTGTAATTTGTATGACTACAGAGTGGCATAGATTTTGTAAAAATAGGAGTAGTTGAAAAATAATTTTGTCATTCTGTTCCATTTGGAAACTACCATATTTGGAAAAAATTCATTCCATTCGGAAACTTGTTTTCAAAAATATGTACATACATACATACAAGAGGATATCATACGTGAAAAAAGGAAGTTTTTTTAAAATATGTACATAGATGTAAAAATATACGAAAATCTGGAAATTGTGTAGGTGTTTTTTAATTTCTTATACTAAGAGCAGGTTTTTGAGATGGTAATCAAATGCCAATTAATAATCAGATTAGTTAATCTAAAAATAAATTTAATCTTATGTTAATCCCCTTTGATGTTTTTGAGTACAAGATTAAACTTCGCAGTGTTGCCATACAAAACAACAGAAAATGTCACTGTTTGTTATCAAAACAATGCATATTTTATAAAAAAGAAGAAGACAATAGTAAATTTAATATGAAAATTAATGAAAACTTAAATTAAAAACAAAAAAATGTATTTTGAAGTGTCCATAATTTATACTAATCAATAAATAGAACATTTTAATGTTTATATTTATAAAAATTTTATTAATTTTTTTGCATCAGCTGTTTACACTTTTGCATTTCGTGCTTAAGATTAAACCACCTCCATTGGGCGCTTAAACTTGCAAACAAAATTAACTAATTGAGTACTCAAAAACATCTTTCGAGGATTAATTTTAATTTAATCGCTAATCTTTCACCTAAAGATTGGCCCTAAGGGATTCAAAATTTAAAAAAAATTAAGATAATTTTATAGTGAACATATATTGTATTTGAATATCATACGTGATACACTTCTCTTGTTTTTTATGTTTTATAATATGTATAGTAGTATATATTTTGTATAAAAAGGAAAGTGCAGTCGGGCATGTCCGATATTTATGTACTATCCATGTTTAACCATTTATTGGTAAAAATAAAAAAAAAAACATGTGTTATATGGCGACTTATGGGGTGGGATTTATGATCATATAAAATTTATTTATACCAAATATTATCATAATATATAAGTGAGTTATGGACTTTTAAGTGTTTTTCTGAAATTTTATTCGTTATGAAAATCGGCTGCATGGCGCTAAATTCGAATCTGGTTCCACGCCTATCTATCAGGATGTTCCAATAGACTCCAAATCACTTTCTGATTCGACATTTTCTAAATAATATCTCAAATCCCAGATGTAATGAAGAATATCTGAACGGCTCAATCCTTTAGAAATGCCTAAGTTGGTCTCAGGGTTTCGACTTTTTTAAATTTTGTCGGCCTGTGTAATTGATCGATAAAAATTTGTTTGTTTAATTATCTTCAAAAAGGCAAAAGTTTTAATTTTTTTTATTTACCTTTTCATGGAATTGCCATATATCAATCAAAAACAGTGTT